ACTTGCGCCAAAAGACAGCTAAAGCAGAACTTCACCCAAAAGGGGAAGTTCCGCTTGTTTGCCCCCTTTTAACAATTGGCACTTTTTTGGGGGGGTGAGGAGGAGCAGGTACTTGGTTTTGACAGGTACTCGCTCTCACTTCCCCAGGGATCGCCTAGGCCAGGGGTGGGCAACTGTGGCCCTCCAGCTGTTGTAGAACTACAAGTCCCATGAGGCATTGCAAAACTGACAGTTACAAGCATGACACCAAAAGGCAGAGGCATGATGGGACTTGTAGTTCACCAACAGCTGGAGGGCCACAGTTGCCCACCCCTGGCCTAGGCAATCCGAGCAGAAGTTCACCCCCCATCGACCGCAGCCCTCTGGGACACATCACAGGTCCCAATAATTTGCAGGACAATTCACAAGGTGCAGCACAGCTCACTTTCCCTTAGTTAAGATGCTGGCGCCTGGACCCGAAGCCCATTGAAGAATCGGTTCGAGTGAGGACCACGCTGGGTCCCTGGACAGGTAAATGTCCTTATATTAAAAGTCAGCAGCTACAGTATTTGTAGTTGCTGATTTAAATTTTTTTGGAGGGAGATTGGAGCTCCTCTTAAACTGATTTTAAGAAGCTGAAGTATACCACTAATGAAGGTGATGATTGTGACGAAATGATAAATGCCTCTTAGCCTAGGTTCATACCTAAGCGTCTTCCGCTGTGTTTTGCAGAATCGCAGTGCAGTCCATTTAATATGATTTCATCGGAGACATGTTCACATCTCCGCGTTTTCACCCGGTGTGTGGTTTTGGAAAGGTTTAGGGACTTTTTTGAAGGCAACAAGTTGCGTTCTTGGTTCTATAGACTTCGTTGTAAACGCTGCAGAAAAGCATGTATTGCATTTTTGATGCGTTTTGTGTTTTAAATCTGCCTAGCAACAAGAAAAAAAAAAAAAGAAAAACACATCAAAAACGTGGCAAAAACGCATGTGCAAAAACACAAAATGCAATGCAGAAATGGGTCATATGCAAACTGCATAGGTGTGAACCTAACCTTAAAGTTTGTTGGGGTAGTTCTAATTCTCAAATCTCTAGACAAGGTATTATTATTATTATACAGGATTTATATAGCGCCAACAGTTTGCTCAGCGCTTTACAATATAACGGGAGACAATACAGCAACAATACAAGAGGGTTAGGAGGGCCTGATCCTTGGAGCTTACAATCTAGGGTAAAGTCTAACCATTTTCAACATGCATGAGTATAAGTGGATGGAGTATGTAAATCAGTTATTAAGATCTGAGGTTAAAAGATTTTTGGTTTGGATAGAATTTTATATACCTTGGAAGACATACAGGGGTTTATTTACTAAAGCTGGAGAGTCCAAAATCAGACTCCCTTCTGCATAGAAACCAATCAGCTTTCAGATTTCATTGCCAAAGCTTAATTGAACAAGCTGAGGTTAGAAGCTGATTGGTTTCTATGCAGAAGGGAGTCTGATTTTGAACTCTCCAGCTTTAGTAAATAAACCCCACAGTATCCAAGACTGTCCACAAATGGCTCAAAATTTGAGTTGTGGATGGCCCCGTCAGCACATTTTTCAATCAACTTTTGCTGAAGGAACCCATCAGAAAAATGTCAGCCAAACAGTAACTGCATCCACTCAACAGCTCTGAGTCTCGACAGCTGCTAAATATAACTGACAGGGAAGATCCCTTCTTCTAGGCTGTTTAGACTGAATAAATGATCAATAAGATTTCCTGCATTCAGCCCACAAAGACATTGCAGCATGTATGGCTAGTTTATTCATTATGGGGAAAAAATATTTTATATAGTTGGTTGATATCCAGAATTCACTATACCTTGTTGTCACTTGTTGTTTGTGATTCATGAATCATATTTCAACTAATTCACAACTTGCTGTACAGCCACTCAAGAATCTTCTGCAACAGCATAAAATACTACCCAGGCTTATGTTGAAAATCAATGCCCCCAGAACCCATATTTCTAAATTCTCTCCCTCTTTCTTTCTCTCTCTCTCTCTCTCTAATATATATATATATATATATATATATATATATATATATATATATATAATATTTTTTTCATTCTTTATTTAGTGTAATGCAACACAGAACAGAAAAACAGAAAAAGAGATTACAGCAGCATGATGTGATGATGTTCAAATAGGCAATACAAGATACAACTAGCAATACAAACATACACATGAAAAGGGGCATTTGATTTTTGCCCGTGCATAAATTGCTTATGATGTCTATGGGCTGTTGGTATTCAGCACTAAGAGTCAAATCCTGAGGTATTTTACATGCAGGAAGATAATCTTAACAACAGGTATACCACAGAGAAGAAAAACAGAAAGGAGTAATAGTAAGAGAAAGGAAGAACTAGAGGTAAAGTCGAAGGAGAAAAGAAAATAAGGAGAGAAGGGTAGGACAGGAGGAGGAAAAAGGTAAAATATTTCTAAATTCTTTGCATTCAACAATGTACCAAAATTATATTTAGATGCTACTTGAAAAAGACTGTAAAGACTCAGAAGGATTTTAGTATAATAGGTGAGTAACAGATAGTGGAAGTGTGCCAATGACACCCACTTAGATTCCAACCTTCCTTGAAAAAGTATTCATACCCCACATTTTGTCATGTTACAACCAAAAATGTAAATGTATTTTATTGGGATTTTATGTGATAGACCAACACAAAGTGGCACATAATTGTGAAGTGGAAGGAAAATGATAAATGGTTTTCAAATTTTTTTTACAATCTGAAAAGTGTGGCGTTCATTTGTATTCAGCCCCGAGTCAATACTTTGTAGAACCATCGTTCACTGCAATTACAGCTGCAAGTCTTTTTGGGGATGTCTCTACCAGCTTTGCACATCTAGAGAGTGAAATGTTTGCCCATTCTTCTTTGCAAAATAGCTCAAGCTCTGTAAGATTGGACGGAGAGCGTCTGTGAACAGCAATTTTCAAGTCTTGCCACAAATTTTCAATTGGATTTAGGTCTGGACTTTGACTGGGCCATTCTAACACATTTGATCTAAACCATTCCATTGTAGCTCTGGCTGTATGTTTAGGATCATTGTCCTGCTGGAAGATGAACCTCCGCCTCAGTCTCAAGTCTTTTGCAAACTCTAACAAGTTTTCTTCTAAGATTGCCCTATATTTGGCTCCATCCATCTTCCCATCAACTCTGACCAGCTTCCCTGTCCCTGCTGAAGCTAAGCATCTCCACAACATGATGCTGCCACCACCATGTTTCACAGTGGGTATGATGTGTTCAGGGTGATGTGCAGTGTCAGTTTTCTGTCACACAATGTTTTCTTTTAGGCCAAAAAGTAAAATTTTGGTCTCATCTGACCAGAGTACCTTCTTCCACATGTTTGCTGTGTCCCCCACATGGCTTCTAGCAAACTTCAAACTGGACTACTTATGGTTTTCTTTCAACAATGGTTTTCTTCTTGCCACTCTTCCATAAAGGCCAGGTTTGTGGAGTGCACGGCTAATAGTTGTCCTGTGGACAAATTCTCCCACCTGAGCTGTGGATCTCTGCAGCTCCTTCAGAGTTACCATAGGTCTCTTGGCTGCTTCTCTGATTAATGCTCTCCTTGCCCGGCCTGTCAGCTTAGGTGGACAGCAATGTCTTGGTAGGTATGCAGTTGTGCCGTACGCTTTCCATTTTCGGATGATGGATTGAACAGTGCTCTGTGAGATGTTCAAAGCTGGGGATATTTTTTTTATAACCTAACCCTGCTTTAAACTTCTCCACAACTTTATCCCTGACCTGTCTGGAGTGTTCCTTGGCCTTCATGATGCTGTTTGTTCACTAATGTTCTCTAACAAACCTCAGAGGGCTTCACAGAACAGTTGTTTTTATACTGAGATTAAATTACACACAGGTGGACTCTATTTACTAATAAGGTGGCTTCTGAAGGCATTTGGTTCCACTAGATTTTAGTTAGGGGGATCAGAGTAAAGGCGGCTGAATACAAATGCATGCCACACTTTTCAGATATTTATTTGTAAAAAAAATTGAAAACTATTTATCACTTTTCTTCCACTTCACAATTATGAGTCACTTTGTGTTGGTCTATCACATAAAACCCCAATAAAATACATTTACATTTTTTTTAGTTGTAACATGAAAAAATGTAGCACATTTCAAGGGGTATGACTTCTTTTTCAAGGTACTGCAAGTGCCAGCTAGATTATAAAATTGTCACATTCCCTTTGTTTCAATGTTTCAAAATTAGTGACAGTAAGGTAGCAAAGTGGCATTACACATAACATGAATACATTATATAATAGAGCGGAATTCATATACATTATATATATATATATCCCAAAGTATTGGAATGCCTGCCTGTACACGCACATAACATTTAATGGCATCCCAGTCTTAATCCATAGGGTTCAATATTGAGTTGACCCACTCTTTGCAGCTATAACAGCTTCAACTCTTCTGGGAAGGCTGTCCGCAAAGTTTAAGAGTGTGTCTATGGGAATGTTTGACCATTCTTCCAAAAACGCATTTGTGAGGTCAGGCACTGATGTCGGACGAGAAGGGCTGGCCTTAAGTCTGCTCTAATTCATCCCAAAGGTGTTCGGGTTGAGGGCATGACTGTGTAGGACAGTCAAGTTCCTCCACCCCAAACTCGCTCATCCATGTCTTTATGGACATTGCTTTGTGCACTGGTGCGCAGTCATGTTGGAACAGGAAGGGGCCATCCCCAAACTGTTCCCACAAAGTTGGGAGCATGAAATTGTCCAAAATGTCTTGGAAAGTTGACACCTTAAGAGTCCCTTTCACTGGAACTAAGGGGCCAAGCTCAACCCCTGAAAACCAACCCCACACCATAATCCCCCCTCCACCAAACTTTACACTTGACACAATGTAGTCAGGCAGGTAGTGTTCTCCTGGCAACTGCCAAACACAGATACGTCCATGGGATGGCCAGACAAAGAAGCGTGATTGGTCACTCCACAGAACACATCTCCATTGCTCTAGAGTCCAGTGGCGGCACGCTTTACACCACTGCATCTGATGCTTTGCATTTCACTTGGTGATGTAAGGCTTGGATGCAGCTGTTCGGCCATGGAAACCCATTCCATGAAGCTCTCTCCGCACTGTTGTGCTAATCTGAAGGCCACATGAAGTTTGGAGGTCTTTAGCTATTGACTCTGCAGACAGTCAGCGACTTCTGCAGAATGTGCGCTTCAGCATGTGCTGACGCCGCTCTCTCATTTTATGTGGCCTACCACTTCGTGTCTGAGTTGCTGTTGTTCCCATTTGCTTCCACATTGTTATAATACCACTAACAGTTGACCATGGAATATTTAATAGCAATTTCACAGATGGACTTATTGCACAGGTGACAACCTATCACAGTACCACGCTTGAAGTCACGGAGCTCCTGAGAATGACCCATTCTTTCACAAATGTTTGTAGTAGCAGTCTGCAGGCCTAGATGCTTGACTTTATACACCTGTGGCCATGGAGGTGATTGGAACACCTGAATCCAATGATTTGGAGGAATGTCCCAATACTTTTGGCAATATAGTGTGTGTGTGTGTGTGTGTGTGTGTGTATATATATATATATATATATATATATATATGTTTCATGCGTCTCCTAGCTTTTCATATCCACTTTTGCTTCCAACTATGGGCTACATCCCACTTCCTGCACAGTAAAATGCTACGTGTTACCATGCAGGAAGTGTCTATTTTAGCCGGCGTTGCTTTGTGCTTTGGAGCACTGTTTACTTTTTTTAACTTTACTGAAATCTCAGTGAAACACAGGGTGTTTGTCCAGCCCCATTAAAAATGACAACATAGTATAGCGGTTCATATACAGTGAGGTACAGAAGTATTTGAACACCCTGCGATTTTGCAAGTTCTCCCACTTAGAAATCATGGAGGGGTCTGAAATTCACATTGTAGGTGCATTCCCACTCAGAGGGACAGAATTTAAAAAAAAAAGTCAGGAAATCACATTGTATGATTTTTAAAGAATTTATTTGTCTTGCACTGCTGAACATAAGTATTTGAACACCTGAGAAAATCAGTGTTAATATTTGGTACAGAAGCCTTTGTTTGCAATTACAGAGGTCAAACGTTTCCTGTAGTTCTTGACCAGGTTTTGCACACACTGCAACAGGGATTTTGGCCCACTCCTCCACACAGATCTCCTCTAGATCTGTCAGGTTTCGGGGCTGTCGCTGAGCACCACGGAGTTTCAGCTCCCTCCAAAGATGTTCTATTGGATTTAGGTCTGGAGACTGGCTAGGACACTCCAGAATCTTGATATGCTTCTTACGGAGCCACTCCTTGGTTATCCTGGCTGTGTGCTTCGGGTCGTTGTCATGTTGGAAGACCCAGCCACGACCCATCTTCAATGCTCTGACTGAGGGAAGGAGATTGTTGCTCAAAATCTCACAATAAATGGCTCCATTCATCCTCTCCTTAATACAGTGCAGTCGTCCTGTCCCCTTCGCAGAAAAGCACCCCCAAAGCATGATGTTACCACCCCCATGCTTCACAGTAGGGATGGTGTTCTTGGGATGCAACTCATCCTTCTTTTTCCTCCAAACACGACGAGTGAAGTTTAGACCAAAAAGTTCTACTTTGGTCTCATCTGACCACATGACTTTCTCCCATGCCTCCTCTGGATCATCCAGATGGTCATTGGCAAACTTCAGACGGGCCTGGACATGTGATGACTTGAACAGGGGAACCTTCCGTGCAATGCATGATTTGAAACCATGACGGCGTAGTGTTCTACCGACAGTGACCTTTGAAACTGTGGCCCCAGCTCTCTTCATGTCATTGACCAGCTCCTCCCTTGTAGTTCTGGTCTGATTCCTCACCTTTCTTATCATCAGTGATACCCCACGAGGTGAGATCTTGCATGGAGCCCCAGTCCCAGGGAGACTGACAGTCGTCTTTAGCCTCTTCCATTTTCTAACAATTGCTCCGATAGTTGATCTATTTTCACCAAGCTGCTTGGCAATTGCCCCGTAGCCCTTTCCAGCCTTGTGGAGGTCCACAATTTTGTCTCTGGTGTCTTTTGATAGCTCTTTAGTCTTGCCTATGGTAGTAGTTGGCGTCTGACTGACTGTGGGGTGGACAGGTGTCTTTAAAGAGCTCAGACAGGTGCTACTAAGTTAGATTAATGAGTGGAGTAGAGGCACAGTAACAGGTCTTTGAGAGCCAGAGTTCTTGCTGTTTCTTAGGTGTTCAAACACTTATGTTCAGCAGTGCAAGACAAATAAATTCTTTAAAAATCATACAATGTGATTTCCTGAATTTTTCTTTTTTTAATTCTCTCAGAGTGGGAATGCACCTACAATGTGAATTTCAGACCCCTCCATGATTTCTAAGTGGGAGAAGTTGCAAAATCGCAGGGTGTTCAAATACTTCTGTTCCTCGCTGTCTAACAAGTGTTCAGTACCATGTACAGTAGAGTATGCTTAGAAAAATGGCTAAAATATTGACAACCAAAAAGATAGGAGGCTGAATGGCTAAGATTGAAAAGAAGTAGGTAGATGTCTGATTTTTTTTTGTCTCATCTGATGCCATGCATGACTTGCAAGCAATTCAAACATTCCATCTGGCCATTAGAGATGAGCTTGGGTATGTTCACATGCTCTTTCGAACCCATGAGGCCAAGCCCACCAAGGAGCTGTGTCTCTATAGAGTCAATGGACTTGTCTGGAAGTTGGAAGGTTGTAATGAGCCAGTCATCTCCGGTGGAAGCAATACTCACCCCGAAGCTGCTTGTATACAGGGGGCATCTATACGTGAGGCTGCAGGGTGGGGAATACCCTGGCCTCAAATGATGGGCCCATTATAGGCAACAGCTTCTTGTACTGTAGATCACTTTACATCATACATACATATTCGAGAACTGTGTGGATAATTCAACCCTAGACAATTCTGCTGGCAGTGATTTACCTTCAGTAAATATAAGACAGTATCCCACACAATACAAATTCAGTGGTTAGTTAGTTATTCCTCCCTATGTGATTATTCTGCTTAAAAAAATGAACCAAGAGGCAACTCATGAGCCAACCAAAAGACTGCAATTGCTGGAATTTTGTGGTCTGTGTGTTAATTGCCTTGTGGATACATGACAATGTCTGAAGAAAGCTGTGGCAGCATCCACACCAAGCAATCTAGAGAGCATGTCCACAGTAAATCCAATTACTCTGTGTGAACTCCTGCCAAAAGCACAGCACTGGGAGAACAACTAGAAGAACGTCATTTATCCCCATGTTGCATAGTGCCGATTCTCCCTCCCTCTGCTCTCGCTATTTCTTTTTCCCAGGCCTCACAGATCACTTGCCTCCTATTAATTAATTTTGGTATATAGGCTAATTAAAATTTTTACATTGCTGTCCATGTGGGCTATTCAGCTGGGAACGTCCATGACACACGTTCCTCTCATGAGGTCTAGTTCCTATCCCCATGGCAACCGCAGTGATGGCTGCATTTCACTGCTGATGTTTTCTAGACAGTCTGGCCCAATAAGGAGTTACATGTTTCTATGTGGAATTAATTTAAAGGGCCAGGAGCTGTATAAGCTGGCTTTTGATAAAATAATTATTTTTTTTAACATTAACAAATATCTACAGAGATATACCAGTAGCAAAGGAATGATTATATTTGAATTCAGATATTCAGTCATTAGCAAGATAAGGGCACCCTTTGCTATGAAAATGAAATGGCAGTATTACGTTGCCAGCTTCAGATTGTAGCAGTAGTTCTTTTATCAAATTTTACAAAATTGAGTGAAGGTTTTGTATGGATTTAGAAGGTAGCTTCTGTTTATAAACCAATAGTTGTCATGATCTCTCATACAAAGCTAGTCAGTTGTCAGGAAATAATCTAACCAATGAAAAATCTTTATCATCAACATTTTACATACCCTATATGTAGTGCATATATTTGATACATACATTGGTATATTGACAGTGCACATGCCTGGGGCATACCTTTACATTGACAATAATTTATTGGTCTGCTGCACTTGTTTATATTCCAATATTCAGTTTGCTAATCAGTATTAATTAATTAAATGCCCTTCTTAGTGTCCATATAATCATAACAAAAATCAAAATATCAAAATAAAATCCATAAATTAATTTATGGATTTCATTTTTATTTTTGTTATGATTATATGGACACTAAGAAGGGCATTTAATTAATTCATTTATACTTTCAAGGGTGAAAGTGAGACTTTTCTAAAGTGTTTTTTCACAGGGTTTAAGAATTTTGGACACCGATTAATGTGTATTAGTTTGCTAATCAGTATACATATGGATTTTTAGATTGAGGTCTGAAAATCTGCTGCATGATCATTCTGTAGGAAGACTATGATATAAATATGAATGCTTTTTTTTTTCAAATATAATACTGGCCTTCTTACCATGAGGAAAGAGTATACATCAGCCAGGAAAATCAGTTTCAGATACTTTCCCCGGATTGGTCAGCATACCTAATCTGACCATAATCAGCAACAATCACTTTATATTTAGAGTTGTAAGAAGATACTTACCACTTACAACATGAAAAAATAAGAATTTTGTACTTGCCCTAAAATCTTTTTCTTAAAGTAGAACTACAGGCAAAACTTTTATTTTTGGATAGCGTAAGGGAGGGTTATAAGGTATGGGTTAGGGAGAGTTATAACCCTTGTCAATTTTTTTCCACTGGGGAGATATATCTTTACTTCCTGTCCCATAGCCAAAACAGGAAGAGAAAGGAAATTCCTACAAATTAAGGGAATCTTTTGGGGCTCCCCAGGTCACCAGAACTTCGTGTCCCCATTGGAAGATTTCCCCTCTATTACTTTTCTGGGGACAACCCATAATTTGGGATTTTCTATTACTTTTACTTTCAATGATAATGGTAAACAGGACAAATAGAGGGGATGAATCTCCCTAGCGGGGGGCACAGACAAAAAGGAAACCTGTCAGATTTTCTAATCCATCTCCAGTCTGTCCAAAACTGAAAAAAAGAAAAAAAGTTTTGGCTTTAGTTAAACTTTAAAGTTCATTGAGGGACACAGTAATTTAGGAATTTTTAGATGGTTGGGTTATACTGCCATCTACAGGAGACAGGGACACTGTACACAAAAAACCTACACTCAGTATACCCCACCTCTAATCATCTTGGCTTAATTTTGTGAGCAAGCAGTACAATGAGCAGGTAACACGGTGGGGTGGAACCTGTGTTCCACAATAGACTGTTTTTGGTAAGTACAAAAATCCTATTTTTTATGGCCCACTGAGAAACACAGGAATTTAAGGATCCATAAACAGTCAGAATGTCAAAAATAAATTCAAATGGAGGGTGGCAACAGCCGTTGAGAAATAAAAGAAATTTGGAGATTATACTACAAAATGCTATCTGAAAGAATCAGCGCCTTAATAAAGGCTAAATGAAGAAAGAGCCAAA